AAGTCGATACCGCACACGCGAAACTCCAAAAGAGGACGGAAATAGGTCGAACTAAAACGAGGCGGGCACCACTTCTAAGGTGCTAAGATAGTCGCAGGAAGACCCCTAAGGCTAGATCCTAATTCCTACGAGAAATACTAGACCTCACGAAAATTGAGGTCAACAAGATGCTATAGCTAAAATACATTCAAACTTGAGTTATATCAACTTTTGACTGGCCAACCTTTTTAGGTGGACCGACATTATATTTTTATGTAAATTTTTTGGGGGACTGGTGCAGTACTCATAAAAAAATGTAAAATTTAAGTTAGATTTTTTATGTCAAAACTGACATGTATTTGTAAATAAAAATTTCTTTGAAAGGGCTATAATAAATATCCATTCAGTTTCTAATGGAACTCTTCAAATAATAATTTAAAAGTATTTTATTAGTTCCATTACATTCCAAGCGACTTTGATATTTTTGCATAAGATGTGCCTTTTCTTTTATTGAATTTTTAAATGTAAAAATTATGATAGATTTTTTAAAAAAGAGTAAAGCAACATTCCCTAGATTGGATGCCCAAAATCTTTGAATTTTTTTGATTGTTGTGCATTGGTGCTGTGGATGTTTATGTAGTTAATAATTTTATTTAACTATTACAGAAATATATAAAATTTGTGATAGATTTATTTCAAATGACAAAATGAAACCCTTTTTTTTTAAACTTTTGGAAGAGTGCATTTCTTTCTTTGTTCCCCTGACAGCTGATTTTCCTGTATAAGATATTTTATTAGGTTGTCATTGTAGTCATCTATTTGATATAGCCTGAAGTCCCTTGCTAGTTTAACTGTTAATCTTTAAGAACTTTGCTTGTTACGTTTATACCACCGAAATCTTTCATATCACATCAAAAATACCACTTTTTTAACTTTTAGAAAGTGAAATACATGTGTGTGTGTGTAAATTTTACGTGCTAGATATGTAAATACATATGAATCGAGTGGTACGTATGTAAATCTTCCTAATCTTTAACATACACTTGGCTATCTAGCTAGACTGGCAAAAATAGTGCTAGGAGTTCTTTACACTATACACATTGAGGAGCGGCTTCTCATGATGGCTCATGACCGTAATCACTGAAATCATTTGTTATTGCTTTAGAGATTATAATGACAAGTGCAGTAACTTTGAAGGCAAGCGAAAAAAAAATGAAGACATTTATATCAAATATTTTGATATAAAACTACAATCAAAATATAATTTTCTTACACTGAAATTGAAGACCCAAAAAAAAAAAGAAATGAAGACATTTATGATAACATAGGAGACAAAAAAAAAAAAAGATTGAAGAAATGTGTATGAAATGTATGAGACAAAACTGCAATGCTTTGTTTCAAATCAAATGATTAATTCAATGTGTCATCATTACAACCTGCTCCAAACGATAGCTATGTCAAGAGCTCCGGAGGCAAATTTCTTCCCTAAGCAACACAATGGCCTAGAAAGTTTATTCCTAAAATGTTTCCAAATTTCCATCTTTTTTACTCTCTTGGAGATGCTAGCAGTTATTTTATTTCCTTCTCATAAAAAAATTATTTTTTGCAAGAAAATTTTTAATGTGTTCTACGCAGGTACCTGTTGTTGATGGCTACTCTTTTCCACATCTCACTAAGAGAATGAATGTCGCCGGCAGACACATCACATCTTATCTTGTGGATCTACTCTCGAGGAGGGGGTACTAGTTTCCATTTTAGTCCTTCAAATATTAAAAGCAATAGAAATTTTGGCTGGTTTTTTATGAATTGCTCTCATGCTATATTTTGAAGGTACTCAATGAATAGATCGGCTGATTTTGAAACTGTAAGGGATATAAAAGAGAAACTTTGCTATATCAGGTATTTTACCTTAGGAAGATTGACATACATACCGCTCAATTCCTATTTATTTACATATCTAAAACCTAAATTTTAAGCTTTACATGCAAGCCACCTTACCTATGCATGAAAAGGCGTATTTCACTTTTTAGAAGTTAAAATGAGGGTATTTTTTATGTGATATGGAAGATTTGGGTGTTATAAATATAAAAATTAAAATTTTGCTCCTAGATTTGCAAATACATAAGAATTGGCTGGTATGTATGTAAGCAGCCCTTTTCTTTATTGATGGCATGCTTATATGTTATGCTTGTGTCAGGCACATTTCTAATAAAGCTTAATCGTGAAACCCCTACAGCTATGATTACAAGCGTGAATACCAACTTGGTCTTCAAACTACCATTCTTGTCAAAAACTACACTGTAAGTTTGTTTGATCATTGCTATTTGAAGACAAGTTTGGCTTACTAGAGATATTTTCAAAAGTTAGATTTTTTTTTTTAATATCCCTTTGGAAATATCTAGGCACCCATAGTACTCTTTTAACTGGATTTGAAGAATGTGTTCAAAAATCATATTTTTTCCATCATGAAAAGTTTTAAAATGGACCCTTGACTTTTTCTAGGGGGCCAGTTTAATTTGAGAGTCTATAAAAGCGCCAACTTAGTACCCATACTCTTTTAGTAGGGACTAAAATAATCCTCCCTGAAGAATATTTTAGCTCATATTAAAAGAGTATGAGACTAATTTGACAGTTTTATGGACTTTGGGACTAAACTGACACGTGCTAGAAGTAGCACGAAATTATTGGAGTGAAAACTGAGAAATCAATGAGAGCTAGAAGTAACAGGAATACATTCATTGTATTTGTTGTTGGGGAGAGTGTAGATCATTTGTAAACTGTCTCAGTTGAAAAAGAGTTTCACACTCCTTACCGAAGCGAGCGCTTGCATTTCTTGAGCAGTTTGATTGCTTAGCTGAAAATTTTAGTAAATCAGATTTATTTGGTGTATTCTTTGATAAATTTGTGTTGTAAGGCATTCTGATAATTATGTCTTTGCCTTGTAAATCAATTCGTTTCTTAGAGTTGGATGGGTTATTACTATAAGAACTAAAAGTTATCTTAGCTCACTAGTTAATTTTAAGTACTACCATGTATAATCTTGGTCGCGACATAAATTTTTTATGTGGCATTTACATACATACCACCCAATTCCCATGCATTTACATATCTATCACTAAAGTTTACATTTTATATTTACACAACCTAAAGCTTTCATATCACAAAAATTTTCAATATCAAATGAAGAATTCCACCATTTTTACTTCTAAAAAGTGAAATACATGAAGAATTCCACCATTTTTACTTCTAAAAAGTGAGATACGCCAAGCCCTTTCATGCATAGGTAAGGTGGTATGCATGTAAAAATTGAAATTCAGGTGTTAGATTTGTAAATAAATAGGAATTGAGTGGTATGTATGTGAATTTCCTTTATTTATTTATATATTATAGTAAAATATCTGAATTTTGTCTAATCAGCTGCCTGATGGAAGAGTCATAAAAGTTGGCACAGAGAGGTTCCAGGCTCCTGAGGCTCTCTTTACCCCGGTATTTAGATCTTTTGTTGCAATCAAGTTTCTTATTTTCTAGACCGAAATTTTTTTAATTATTTAAATAATAGTTGCTTCATTTACTAAGAGGACCTGTGATCGGAAACCAAACTTCTCAAATTGCATTCATGCTTAACAGTTAATAGGATAGTTTCATCTGGCTAAGAAAACAATGGTTTTAGCTTAAATTATGAAAAACCGTCAATTACATGCATGTCTCACTTTTCAATCAATTTTAGATCTAAACCTTTTCATAATGGATAATGCTCAATATTTCATGCTTTTCACAAGATTATTTTTTCTTCTATGGAGGCTGAATTGGTTTGGGGCATTTACATACATACCACACAATTCTTATGTATTTACATACCTCACACCTAAACTTTCATATTTACTTTTATAACACTTTAATGTCTTAAACCTATGCATGAAAAGATGTATTTAACTTTTAAAAAATTGGTAATAATGGTAAATAATAACATTTACATCTTTAATATACAACAACAACAACAACAAAACCTTAATCCCACTACGTGGGGTCGGCTACATGAATCCTTTTTCTCTATTGCGTCCTATTTACATCTTTAATATGATGTCAAATATACCATTATTACCAACCTTGTAAAAGTTAAATACACCTTTCCATGCATAGGTTTAAGACATTTAAGTATTGTAAAAGTAAATATTAAAGTTTATGTGTTAGATATGTAAATATATAAGAATTTTGTGGTATGTATGTAAATCACAAATGTTTTATGCTTGTGAGGTAATAGTCTGATCCAGAGTCATCATTTTCCATTTCCGTTTAAGGTGCTTGCCATTGCGACAGATATTCATCATTCTTTTTAAACTCTGTTTAGATCCACGTAGGTATTGTAAGCTGTTCTTCACCAAAAACATGACTCATTATTAAAGAATTTTATTAATTTTTTTTGATATTTCAGCATCTAAAATTGTCTTTATGATTGAACTACCATTGTCATCCGCATCATCATCCTTAGTCTTGTCCAATTTATTTGGGGTATGTTTTATGAATGTTCATTCTCCGTTCATCTTTATTGAATTTTTCACGAGGTATTAAATCTATCTAGCGTAAATCTTCTTATTTAACTACTATACAAATTACATTTCATCTTATCCCTTTTTCTTTTATCTTTGAATGTTAGTTTATCAATATGCTTTATTGATGCATATTGTACTCTTTGTTGACTTGCTAAAACCACCTGAACCTATTTTCCACAATCTTATTTTTAATATGCTTTAGGCCCACATCTCAAATAATATAATTAAAACAACCTGGTTGTCAGAGCAGTTAGCTGCTAACCAACTAGATTCCCTTTCCAAAATATTCTACTCCGCCTATATATGCCCTAGGGGTTTAAACAAGCCTAGCTGGAGCGAACTAAACATGTGTTTGTGTTTGACTCGGTTAATTTTTCGTTCGAAATTGGCTCGTGAAAAGTTCGTGCGTGTTCTGCTTGAAAAAATGTTTGTGTTTGTTTTTAGCTCGTGTTTAACTCTATTGACTTATTTATATTAATTATAAAAATAGATGTAGGTTGTTGGATTCAGACCTACATCATCCCGATGCAAGAAATGACACAAAACCACATCACCACAAAACTATGATGATTTGAACTTAGATATAAATTTATATAATATATTATCATATAAATAATATATATAATTTCTTTATTTTAAGCTAAAATGAGATAATATATTATCATATAAATAATATATATAATTTCCTTATTTTAAGCTAAAATGAAAATAATATATATAATTTCTTTATTTTAAGCTAAAATGAGCCGAACACGATCAAACACAGGGTTGTTTGTGCTCATTCATTTATAATTCGAGTTTAAAAAAATTGTTTGTGTTTGACTTGCTTACTTAAGGAACGATTCGAACATGAGCTGCTTAACGAGCCTAACACGCGTTATTTACGAACAAGGAGCTTTTTGGACAATATAACCATAGTTTGTACTGCTGTATATATACAAACTTCTGCTCTCTTTTAATACATTAGTTTGAGTCATGTTTCTTCCGGTAATCATAGTGATTTTCCACTGAGCTTTCCTGCCTTCATGTTATCAGACAAACAGTATCCCAAAACCCTTCTGTGTAATTCATTCATTACTTCTTGTTTCATTCTACTTTAGTATTCGAATGGAAGATTCAGTAACCTCTGGATCTCCATCTTCTACTCTACCGGTGCCTAACACAACTATCCCACATCTCTCAAATTTCCTGTCTCTTATATCAAACTACTTGCTCAGAATCAATTAACCATAGACAACTATCCTATTTGGCATGTTCAAATTCTCAAGATTTTCACGAAAATAGATTTACTGGATTTCTTGATGGAAGTACATCACATCCAAAAAAGTTTCTTGCTGAAAACACTGGCTCGGTGACTCTAAATCACTTTTCTTTTGAATGTATGTTCTTATTTCTTTCAATTCTATGGATTGCATGCCTTATCTCTGTTTAGAATTTGTCTAATTTTGAAGTTATTAAGTTAAGAGTCTAGGAAATGTTATGGGAGTGTGATCATTGCAGGGCCAACCCCGGAATGTTGAAAAAGTTTTGCAAACAACATTTTGGTGGAACTAATCATGTATAATAATTTTTTAAATGGAATTTGAAGGATTTTGATACTAGCATTCACGAATGAAGGGGATGTTCAATCCTTTTAGTAATTATAGATGAATCAAATTTAAAAATTAAATAGTGAAGATATGGGAGAGATAATGGAAATATAGTTTGTAAAAAAATGTTTATTCGAGAATACTAAGGGCGTGTTTGGGATCACTTTTATTTTTTATTTTGAGTTTTACTTTTATTTTAGTGTGCTTATTGCATTTTTTTTTTAAATAAATTAGCTTGTTTTTGAAAACACTCTAAATATTTGTTTGGATGTTGTTAAAAACAAGTAAACATGTTATATAATACATATTTAGTTTTAAATCAAAATAAATTAATAAATTAAAAACACAAAAAAAAAGGTGATCTTAAAAGACCCCAAAAATTTTGCATGTAAACAGTTTCTTCTTATACTGATAGAAAGAATTTTTATTTTACAAATTTTATGATGAGTTCAAAAAAGAATTCAACTACACAATTTAAACTAATAGCTATAACTATGTCTTAATATTAACAATCAAAAGAGGTTATTGCTGCAGGATAAGATGTTGGAATATTAAAGTTGAAGTTTTTTGTCTCTCAAAATATTTTGCTCAGGAAGTTAGAATTCCTTAGTTGAGCAAAACATGATGTAAGATAAAATGGCTAATTCCATTTTGAGGATTAATGTAGAAGCTTTAAGAGATTTTAGAACTGATCTAATGTCCCCTAAATATTTTTGGCGTGTTTATTTGTATTTTAGATTTTTTTAGGTGCTTAATTTTGCCCCTCCATTCACTAGAGAAAATTTATTAGTTTTGGAGAACCAATTTGCTTTCATGCCATGAGGATGTACCATGGAAGAAATGTATATTTTTAATGAAGTAATGGATTAGTATATGGAGCAAGGATATGATCTTCATAGACATTAATTAATCCTGAGAAAAAATATGATTAAATATCATAAGAATTAATTTGTTATGCATACAGCAAGAGTATTTATGTTAAAGGTATATTGATGTTATTAAATTTACGTGATGGAGCGCTGACTAATACTAGGAGTAATTATAAAGTGATCAAAGTGTCTTCAAATTTAATATGTTTCACTTTTAAATCCATGTGATATCCTCTTATCAAATAAAGCTCTAAAGATAACTATCCAGCTTAACAATCAACCTTTAACTTCTATCTCCATTCTTTGTAAAATAGATTCAAGATAACTTAACCAATCAAACTAGATATCACCATATATTCCAAAATTATTGATTCATAATTGTTAATATCGGAAATGCTTAAATTATATATTATATATTCGGTGTTTGTTCTAGTAATTATGAGTCTTTTATCTCCTGAATATTTTCTCTATTATTCTATTTTTTTTGGTTATTTCAATGAATGTCTCCGCAATTAGAAGTATATCATTAAAAAAAAATATAAAACAAGGCACATTACTTTGAATATCCATTAAGAGCATCTCCATAAACAATATAAAAAGATAAGGACTGTTCGAAGTGATTTGCAAAGAAGAACGTCTCAGACAATTCTCAACAAGAATGAATAAAAAATAAGAATTCATACATCTGATCCCAAATAGTTTAGATGATGGTGATGATGACAACGTCATATATATTACAGGCCCAATTTTATTTTATTATTAGAAGTTCCAAAAGTGACATATTTGTTGAGGCAATCCTAAAAAAAAATAGAGAAAAAAATATCTTCACACGATTTTTAATAATCTTAAGAAGTGAATTTAATGCATATTATGAAAAAAAAAAGTGTCTTAAAGTTACGGTGAAATTATTATTGATATGCATATGATGGAGTATTACTTAGTGTTAGTAGATGTGTGGTAATGAAGTTTTTAATCATAATAGGATCATGTCAAGGATCAACATTAAATTTGTATTTTTTAATATTGCTTAAAAAAATTCTCACAAAAGATAGTTATCATGAATTAATTTTTTATATGATTTTTATCATGATATAACTCAATTTGATGAAACCTCTCCCTAAAGAAGCTTAATATTAGAATAACAGTTTTAAGTGTTCATAAGATTAAGAGCTTGGGATATATAGATTAATGATTGAGCATGATGTTTGAATAATGCCGCTAGTGTTGATAAGATAAAGAATTTATGATTAATAGATCAATTCTTGTGTAGATGATATGCAAATTTAAGAATTATGATATTAGTAATTTATCAATAAATAACATTAAAAGAAAGCGTTACTGAGGTGTGCTAGGTTTAAGTATCTTGGGCCTATCATGAAAAATTATAGGGATATGGTAGTACTATAATTTCTAGCATTAAGGCCGAGTGACTGAAATTAGAAAATGTTTTTTGGAGTTCTATTACAAAACAAAATTTCACGATGGTAAATTTAATTTTAGAGAACTTCAAATCGTTTGCCTTTGTTGTATGGATTGGAGTATTGAATGGTAATAAGTCATTGATAAATAAATTGAGTGGGACAGAAATACACTGAGTTATTTTGACAAAATTAGAAAAAATAGATTGAGAAATGATTATATGATTAAGTTTGAAGGGTGTGGGAGTAATATATATTGGGATAAGGTGATGAAAAGTAGACTCTAAGATGGTTTGGGAAGTACAACATTGACAGAAGATACATCAATAAAAATAATTAATAATGTGCAAAAAATAAGAAAAAATTAAGTAAATCTAATTTAACATTGATAGAATTTGTATAAAAATATATAGGTTTAACATCTCCCGAAACTCTAAATTGGAATAAAGGAAGAATGCTGATTCATAAAGCTAACCACAAAATAGTTGTTTATGGCTTACAATGATGATGATTAATTTATGGCTTTGACGGTTCGGAACTTCCTCATACACTTATTGAATGTAAGAAGCTGTTATTCTTTCTTGTTTTATCGGATAAACTTCTTGATTTGAGATAATTTATTTTTAGCTCCCTTGCTGTTATTGAAGAGTTCGATTTGTATACATTTGGCAAAATTTTCCTAATTTTCTGCTTATACTATGGTTTTTAGCTTGGTTGCATGTATGTTTCCATAATATCCCCATACATTATGTTAAATTACTAAATAAATGTCATTTTGATACAGGAGCTTATAGATGTTGAAGGTGATGGCATGGCAGACATGGCGTTTCGTTGCATTCAGGAAATGGATATTGATAATAGGATGATGGTATTGATAATAATAAAATTACTGCAATGAATTGGCAAACACTTCTGATTTTTATTCCTTATAAATGTTCACTAAGCGGACCAAAATTTGACCCTTTGGTTGCTTCAGCTAATTAAACTTCTTTTTAATATATCTATATTAGTCGTTTTCTTCTATAATATTGTTGAAAACTGTAATGCTTTTATTTTAATTTGATAACCAATCTATTAAAAATTTGACAAATCAGCAAACTGAAAACACCTTTTTATTTTCATCAGAACGTGACTAGCTGGTGCGAGGACATTCAGATCTACCAGATTATATATTTACTCCTTGTGGTGATCTTTCTTAATTTTATCAGTCCAATTTAGGGGTGTGAACAAGTTGAGTTGAGCTTGAGCCACCCTCAGCTTGAGCTTAATTAATTAATTTTATGAGCTGGAGCTCAAGCTTGATTCTATGAGTTCGAGCTGATTCATGAGCTGGCTTATCTATTATGAAAGAGAGAAAAACAAAACTAATTCAAGCTAGTGTTATAATAAAATGACAAATAGAACGAGCGATTAGGAGATAATAAATTAGAAATCACTTTTTATAATATGTAAAATATGTTTCTCTAGACTTTTTAATAATTTAAAGATAAACTCCCAAATTTTAATATATTTTATATTTGTTATGGAAAGTAGTATACTTGTATATTATCTTTTTTGTATAATTTAAAGATACTTGTATATTAGGAAGATTAATATTAAATATCTAATTAAAGAAGATCTAATGACAAGATCTTTTTTGTATTAGAAATATTTCTAATCTATGGAGATGGGAGAGTGTATAAATATGCGTTCAATTACGAACAAAAAGATTTGCTTCCCTCTACATGTTATTAGAGCTTTCATCTGCTTCGCCTTCATTCTGCAATGAGGATAGCTTCTCTAAATTAGCTTTGTCTGTGTAGATTGTCTTCGTCGGCTACATCTACTCCATTGTTCAAAGCTATCTGCTTCGTCGATCTGCACAATTTGTTTCGTTGGCCGACCTCGACTGCTTAGATTCATTTGAGTTTGTTCGCCTCGGTAGCATCTGCACAGAGGAATGCTCAATTTGTTTGGAAGAGACGAACCAGAGGAGTCACGGTTTTGAGCCGTATTCATGGATTTTTCTACTTCGATCGCCTTCGTCCCGATTTCGAATGATTGTGCTTGCTCGTAACCCTCTCATCAGCTCGTAGAGTTCGATTTATCTGCTCGATGGCGTCGCGGTTTCGAACAACAACCCTTGCTCTAGTGAACCCTTGTTGCTATCTTTTCTTTGTATTAGAAGTGGGAATTCCAGAGTTGACTATCAAGTTGCCTCATTGTCTGGAAACAAAGCCGAACCAAATTGCTTGGTCTAAGACTTCCTGAACTGGCTCAATGTTTTTTCAATCCTCAAAAAAATTGGTGAACCATTCGATTTCTAGAGAAAGTTTGAGTTCCTTAATATTTTTCCTACAAGTACTTTGGCATCATCTCCTTTGCGCCATCCGGAAACAATTCAAATTATTTGATTGCTCGGACCATGCTACGAGATTGCATCATCATTGAGATTCATCGATTCAAACTCGTTGAATATAGGGTGATAATCATGACTATTGAACAAAAATATCTTGTGACAAATTTGGTTTAATTATGGCTAAAATTACTAATGTGAAGTTAAAGGACGTCAAATACTTTTATTAAAATAAAACTGTGAGACTCTACATAAGGAGTACTTCTTAAGAGAGTTATCTCATTAATAATTCCCTAGTCGAGTCTTATCCAAATTATTCTAAGTGGATGAGAGTTGATGCTCAGCTCTTAATACAAATACATAATTCTATCAAACCCGATCAATCTAGTCGTATCAATTGTTATGACTATATTAAAAATGCGATGAAGGAATTAACATTTTTATTTTCCAGGATAGAAAACATTTCTCGAATCTTTGATGTTTGCAAGGAGTTCTATGGAACTGAACAACATGATCAATCTCTTAACATGTATCACATGCACTTTAAATGTGTTCATGAAGAATTGAATGCCCTATTGCCTTTTAGTACTGATGTCCACATTCAACAGGCTCAAAAAGATCAAATGACTATTATAAGTTCTCTAGCTGGCCTCAACTCTCAGTATGAAGGTGTCAACTCACATATCTTATTTGATTATGGAGCTACTATTTTGAACGAAGCCTATAGTAGAATGTTGTGCACTATTCGAAGATCTCAGACTTTATTCGTACATCAACCTTGTGCTCTTACTAATCAAAAAAATATAAACATCAGTAAACCTTAGCCTCATGAGAAGCATAATGAAACTCCAAATTTTGGAAATCAAGGCTTTAAAGTAGTTTTCTATTAGTGCCATGAACCTGGTGATACGAAAAAAATGTGTTAGAAGTTGCTCAAGAAGAATTAGAAGTGCTCTAAATCACAGTTTGCTCACATGTTCACTACTAATGAGGCCAGATGAATGGAATGCTAAATTCATTCAATTTCAGGAAGCATCCAAGAAATCTACCTCTATTTCCGCCCTTGCTTAGTCAGGTAACAATGATAGTTGCTTTTTCTCATCTTTCACGCAATTTGTCATTGATTCTGGTGCTGCAGATCACATGACAGACAATCCAAAACTCCTTTTCACTTTTCATAAATAATTTTCTTCCATTACTTTATCAGATGGTTCTACCTCTAGCGTTTTTGGTTCTAGCACCATTAGTATTACACCTACATCACCTTTAAATTCTATCCTCAATTTACCTCTTCTCTCTTTCAATCTTGTCTCTGTTAGCAAAATTACGTGCTCTTAATTGTTGTATCTTATTTTTCTCTGATCATTGTCTTTTTCAGGATTTTTATGATGAATAAGATTATTGGTAAATGATGAGAGTCGTAGGGACTATACACTCTCGAGAACGAACACCTCAACCCATAACTTGCTCCAACACCTTATATCCTTTTGAGGTTTATTGCCAATTAGAACATCCATCATTTTTAGATTGTGATTCGTGTCAATTTGTTAAACACCATCATTTGTCTTTTGTTCTTAGAATTAATAAAAGAGTTGCTTATAGTTCTGAGTTGGTTCATTTTGAGACATTGTCCTGCTTTATTTAATGGATTTCAATATGTTTTATTACTTTCATGGATGATTTTCTCATATGACTTGGTTGTACTTTATGAAATCAAGTACTGAGTTATTGTCACATTTTAAATCCTTTTGGGCTGAAATTAAAACTCATTTTAATATTTTGGTCAAAATTTTGAGAAGTGATAATTCCAAAGTATATTTTTCTACAGTGTTACAAACATACATGACATAATATTGATCACATATCATCTTTTGCTGATTCTTCCTCCCAAAATAAATTAACTAAAAGAAAAAAATTGACATCTTTTGGAGACAATAATATCTCTTTTGTTTCAAACTAGTGTGTCCAAACAGTTTTGGGTTTATTTTGTTTCTAGAGAATGCTTTTTGATTAATTGAATGTCTTCTACTCATTTACAAAACCAGATATTTTACCAACTATTATTTATAACCTTCTCTTTCC